TCTTTTAGGCCTCCAATGGGGCGATGAGGGAAAAGGTAAAATTGTTGACGTACTAACCAAAGAGTACGACATTATTGCCCGCTTTCAGGGTGGACCCAATGCCGGGCATACCCTTGAGTTTGATGGCATAAAGCATGTGCTGCACACCATACCCTCAGGCATTTTTCATGTAAGCAGCTTGAACGTTGTTGGCAACGGGGTGGTAATTGATCCGGTTATTTTTAAGCGGGAAGTAGAAAATCTCTTAAAGTTTAAGGTTGACGTTAAGAAGAGTTTGCTCATTTCACGCAAAGCCCATTTAATACTCCCCACGCACCGCATGCTTGATGCGGCTTCTGAAAAAGCCAAAGGAAAAGATAAAATCGGCTCAACCCTGAAGGGCATTGGCCCAACCTATATGGATAAAACCGGCCGCAACGGTTTGCGGGTTGGCGATATAGAGTTGTCTGATTTTCAAGAACGCTACAACAACCTGAAAGCAAAACACGAGCAGCTGCTTAGCCATTACTCAGACTTTGAATACCAGGAAGAATTGAAGAAACTGGAAGTGCAATGGCTGGAAGCCGTTGAGTACCTGCGCAATCTTACCCTGATAGACTCTGAGCATTTCATCAACGAAGCCATTGGCCAGGGAAAAAGCGTTTTGGCCGAAGGCGCCCAGGGGTCGTTGTTGGATATAGATTTTGGGAGCTATCCCTTTGTTACATCCAGCACCACCACCTGTGCTGGTAGCTGCACCGGCCTGGGCATTGCCCCTACCCGTATTAAAAAGGTATTTGGTATTTTTAAAGCCTACTGCACCCGCGTGGGTAGTGGCCCCTTTCCTACCGAGCTTCACGATGATTTTGGAAAAAAACTGCAAAATCAGGGCAATGAGTTTGGCAGTACCACCGGCCGGCCCAGGCGCTGCGGATGGCTAGACCTACCCGCCTTGAAATATGCCGCAGACATAAACGGGGTTACCGACCTGATTATGATGAAGAGCGATGTGATGACCGGCTTTGAAAAAATAATGGTGTGCACCGGCTATCGCTACAAAGGCACAGAAATTGATCATTTGCCCTACAACGTGGAAGACGATCAACTGGAAGCGGTTTACACCGAACTCCCCGGATGGAATGATGATCTTACCGACCTTGATAACTATGAGCAGGCTCCTGATGCACTTAAAAATTATGTTCGCTTTGTGGAAGAGCACATTGGTGTTCCCGTCAACATTATTTCGGTGGGTCCCGATCGCAAACAAACCATCGTTCGGAAAAGTCTGGTTTCTTAGCCTGCTGGTAGGCCTGCTGCTGGCTGGTACGCCTCCACTACTTTCTGCGCAAAGCACTAAAGGCAAAACCAAATAGATAAACATTAAGCAAGCCGAAACAGGTTTTTACTCAAAGGGAACGGGAAAAAACCGGCTGATTGGCAATGTGATTTTTGAGCACGCAGGCGCCCTGATGTATTGCGACAGCGCCTGGCTTTTTTCAAAAGAAAACCGCTTAAAGGCCTTTCGCAACATCAAGATTAATCAGGGAGATACGCTTTTTCTTTGGGGCGATTATCTGGAATACGAGGGAAACACGCGCAAGGCCCTGGTAACCGGAGATACCGTGCGCCTTGAAGACGATGAGATGACCCTGGTAACCGACAGACTGGACTACGACCGGAATACCAATATTGCGTATTACACCACTTCGGGCGTTATTTACAACAACGAGAATGTGCTCCGCAGCAAACTGGGCTATTACAACAGCTCATCTAAATTATTCAACTTTAAAGACAGCGTGGTGCTTACCAACCCCGATTATGTAATGCGCAGCGATACGCTCGATTACAACAGCCAAAGCCGCATGGCTTACTTTAAGGGGCCCACAACCATTACCAGCGACAGCAGTTTTATTTATTGTGAAAACGGCAAGTACAATACCATTGCCGATGTGGCGCAGTTTGAAAAAAACGCGCTGATTTACGATGAAAACAAGTACCTCACGGGAGATAGTATGTACTACGAAAAACACCAGGATTACGGGGAGGCCTACGGAAACGTGGTGATTCACGACACCATTGAAGACTACCTAATTACCGGAGGCTATGGCGAGTACCGGGGCGCCACCGACAGTACTTTTGTTACGCTTGAACCGCTGTACAGTGTGCTGGATGATGAGGGCGACACGCTGCACGTACACGGTGACACCCTCTTTTCGGTGGCGCGCTACGATTCGCTTAACGGAAAGAAACAAAGGCTGGTAAAAATCTTTTATGGCGTTCAGTTTTTCCGCACCGATATGCAAGGAAAGTGCGATTCACTCACCTACTTTACGGCCGACTCTACTTTCCGTATGTACGACAACCCCATAATTTGGAACGACAGCACCCAAATTACAGGCGACACCATTTATATGCTGATGAAAAACGACCAGCCCGATACCATAAAAGTGTTTCAGAATGCCTTTATGATTAGCGAAATTGATGCAGAAAAACACAATCAGGTGAGCGGCAAACGCATGAACGGCAAGTTCAGAAAGGGCAAATTGCACAAGGTTTTTGTAAATGGCAACGGGCAAACCGTTTACTACCCCAAAGAAGAAGGGGGCGACTTTATAGGCATGAACCGCAGCATTTGCTCCAACATTATCATCCAGTTTAAAGAAAGCGAAGTAAACCGCATCATCTTCTTAAAAAAGCCGGAGGGAAAGCTGCACCCGATGGACAAAATTCCTGGCGAAAGAAGACGATTGCCCGGCTTTCTGTTGCGTTTTTCTGAACGTCCGCACTCAAAAAATTCCTTGTTTGAATGATGCTTTGGGCTTTTATATGCACGCTTAATTTCTCGCTTCAGGGCGAAAACTGGTACGCCATGCCGGCCGAAAGCTTTTTTGAACTGCCCGCGGTAAAAGCGCAAATAGACCCCAATCAACCCAATTACCCGCTGCTGGCCGCTGCGGTATTTCACGCCTCAAATCAGGCTCGCACGGCCGAAGGACACTCGGCCCTAAGCTACGAACGGCCCCTGGCGCAAGCGGCTCGATTGCATTCTGAGAGCATGCGCAAACACGGTTTTTTCGCACATCGCAATCCCAAAAGCAAGCGCTACCGAACGCCTAAGCTGCGCATTCAGAAATACAGTGGTGCCTTCAAGGCCTTTGCTGAGAACATTGCCCGTTACGCCATTTACCGCCTCGAAAAAAAAGGTATCTTTTTTGTTACTCCTGACGGTAGCCTGGTAGATGAAAACAACCAAGCCTTGCGGGCCGAAACCTACACCGGCCTGGCCCATAAAATTGTAAACGGGTGGCTTAATTCTCCCGGCCACCGCGCAAACTTGCTGGGAGATTATCAGGCCCTGGGCGTTGGTATTTCGGAGGTGTTTCGCACGAACGAAAACCAGATACCAGAGCTCTACATAACTCAAAATTTTGGAAGAAAATGAAAGTTGTTACCCTCTTACTAATGCTACTGACCGGATGCCCCGGCCTCTTCGCACAAACGGTTCGCTTTGCTGAGGCTGAAAATCTGAAGGACTACGAAAAGATACTGGAGCTGAGCCGCGAACAGGAGAAAATGCTATTTGTGGCCCTGCACGATGGCGGGGGACAATTTAAAGCCATGTTTGACGAAGGCGTTTTCAATTCAACCGCCCTGAACAACGCCTTATCGGCTTACACCGCTGTTGCCATTGACGTGAGAGATGAAATGGGCAGCCGCTGGATTGACTTATTTCCCGCGGTAAATTTGCCGGCTTTCTACTTCCTGAATGATGAGGAGTTTCTCCTGCACAAAGCAGAAGGATACCAGAGCACCGACAGCCTTGTGCGTATGGCTTTACGAGCTGAAAAAATGCGTCACCGCTACGACACGCTCCTCAAAAGCTATAATGCCAACGCGCTAACAACCGCTCAATGGAAAGAGCTCATTGAATTGCACGGACTGAACTTCAGTTTCGCGCAAACCAGCGCCCTGGCCTGGGAAATGCTCAACGCCAAATCAGAAGCTGAATTGCTGCACGAAGATTTGATTCCGGTTTTGGTTGAATACGGAGTAGATTTGGAAACAAAGTACCCGGCCTATATCATTAAAAACCAAAAGGCTATAGCAAGTAAACTCTCCGATTTTGACTTTGGCGAATACTTTGAACGCGCCTATAGCTACAACCTGGAT